CCGAGTCACAGGTTGCCCCCATGAGACACACTCCCAGTCATCTCCCTGGGCCTGGGCACTGGGCGGGCAGCTGACGTGAGCCCAGCCTTACCCCTGCACAGAGCATGCCAGTTTCACAGCTTCAGTTCCCTTCCAAGTCCAGCCTGCTCCAAGCCCAGCCAAGTTTCCCCCTGGCAGGCTGCATCTCCATTTTCTGCACCTCATTCTGCCCAGAAGGGACAGCTGCTGAGAGGCGCCCAGGATCCCTGGGAGAGAGCTGTCCCAGCAGGTCAGCATGGCAGGATCCCTGTGAAGGAGCTGCCCCAACAGGCCCGTATGGCAGGAGCCCTTGGTCTCTTCTGTGCTTCTGCCATGCAGCGCCCTGCATCCAGCCCCCAGCCGGCCACCTGCCAGGTTCTTGGGGCTCATTTACTTATCTGTTTCTTTTGGAAGCTTCTAGGAAGCAAGACTCCACTTGAGGGAATCTGGCTCCCCGGAGTCGGACTCAGGACTAAGAACTTCACGTGCTTTATCTCACTTCACCTCTACATTTATGGTGCGGAAGGAGAATGTTTAACCCCTCTTACACAGGAAGAAACTAAAATTTGAATTTAGCTTGGTACACAGGGAGAGGGAGGGAGCTAGGTTTATTTTCCCATAGTGCTCCAATGTCATTTTTAAAACAACTTCTCCCACTGATCGGACACCCCATTTCCCCGATAGTGGCAACTTCTTTCTATACATTGGAGCTATTCCTGGGCTTTCTCTTCTTTTCCACTGAGCTGCTGGCCTTTTTTCATTTCACAACATTTTCATCTTTGAAGATTTATAATGTATTTCAATGTCCGGGAGCAGCGCTGCCCTTTTTTACCCAGAAATTTTGTGATTTGACTCACACATAAACTGATTTCCAGGTGAATTGTTCCAAGTGAATTCATTTTGTCAGATTAAAAATAATCCCTAAATGTTTTTATTAGAGTTGCATAAAACTTATACCTTTGGGCAAATGGCATTTTGCAGTGCTAAGAGCTCTCCACGTGTGAGGTGTGATTTGCTTTTTATTTTATGTCCCTCCATGCAGTTTGGCAGATTTTTATTCTGAGTGCTGCACATTTCCTGTAAATGTTATTCCTTGGTGTCACCATTATAAACGGGATCTTTTTGCATTGCATGTTCTGACTGGTTAGCACTAGTGTGTAGAAAAGCTATGAAAGAAATAGTAGCATTTCTCATTTACAGATGAAGAAGAGAAATTGAGGGAATCGCTCCATATGAGATTCTTACTCGAACTTAGAGATATCCAGGATGTGGCTGTGTCAGAACCATGTTCCTCCATCAGAAGGAAGATGCCTGTGCTCCCCAAAGGCCATGTCTATTCAGACTGAGGTCTGCTGACTTTATGTCTGCTGCCTGGACAAATCTAGATGCAAGGGCAGCTAAGTACCTGAGGGCACCGAGGTCTCGGGCCTGCCTGAGCTCCAGGGCACTTCTTTTGCCTCGCACCCCAGAAACCAACAAGAGGAGTCCCCATCAGGTGGGCACAGCGATAGGTCATGGGCCAGTAGGAGTTTGGACCACTGATTTGAAAGCAATAGTTTTTTTGTTTGTTTGTTTTTCTTTTTGAGATAGAGCCTCAAGCTGTCACCCTGGATAGAGTGCTATGACATAGCTCACAGCAACCTCCAACTCCTGGGCTCAAGCAAGTCTCCTGCCTCCACCTCCCAAGTAGCTGGGACCACAGGCACCCACCACAACACCTGGCTATCTTTTGGTTGCAGCTGTCATTGTTGTTTGTCGAGCCTGGGCAGCATTTGAACCCGCCAGCTCAGGTGTATGTGGCTGGAGCCTTAGCCGCTTAAGCCACAGGCCCTGAGCCTGAAAGCAATAGTTCTTACTCTTTGGAGTCAGGGAAAATCTGATGAACCCTATGGCTCTGTCTCAGAAAAATGCCCAAATTGCTGCCCATATTTCCAGAAGATTTATGAATAGCTCCAAAACACAGCCCAAGGACCCTTGCATTAAATTAACATCCCTGACTTAAGACGATGGTTCAGCCAAGGATTCTGCTGGGTGGGTGGCACTGAGAAATGGGGGCAAGTTCAGAGGACAGAGGTCCTCAATCTGTGTTACACTAGGTGGGTCACTTCCCTTTCTGAATGCACAGGTTGTGGGACGATTAAGCTAAAACCACAATTAAATAGCTGGATGTTGGGGGAAAAAGTGTCGGGGCTTGTGGTACACAGATATGCTTCTTGGTTGTCATAAAAATTAATAATTAATCTTCCCTGCATGCTAAGGAGCCTCAGCGTGATGACAGCAGGGACTAGCTGCCAGGTAAGTGCCTGACAGGCCAGCCCTCCTCTCTGCCCTCCACCCACTGGCTCTCCCCTGAAATGAGGGGTTACATTCAATGGAAGTGAATCTGCAACTGAAAACTTCTGCAAAATGTAGTAATAAAGCCATGTGCCTTATGAGAGAGATCTGAAAGGCCTTCCGAGTTGCCATCCTCCTGCTCCCAGTAGGAGCTGCCACCTGTCCTCCTACCCCAGTGTGAACTCTGTGTGCTGGGGGAAGAGGGCAAAAAAGCATGGCACTGGGAACCTCTTTCTAAATACGAACAGCTGCTTCCTTCTCCCTGGGACAAATCTGCCTGGGGATATGCTGCTTTGGTCTTCCGTGCTCCCAGGCCAAGGGCAGGGCAGAGGTAGGATGTGCAGGAGTGTTTTGAACACCTGGCTCTCGGAGCCTTCTGCCTATAGTGCTCCCATTTGGAGGGCAGGTGGGGTGCACTGTCCTCCTTTCAGCCTCTCCTTCCCAGTTCCTGGATCAGTGGCAGGTACACAATAGGAGATTAATAAAAGACTCGGACAAATAAAGGAGCCCTTCCCCCATGCTCTGCCTGAGCCTTCTCACATCCCTCCTCTGGTCCCTCTCCATCAATCTGACCATCTCCTCTCCTTCCAACTTTTGCTCAAATGTCTTCCAGGGTTGCCTCCACTGAAACTCCCCCACCTCCCCAGATTTGTAGCTCCATGTTTCTTCATCTTTGCTGATCCCATCAAGGGGCTTCAGGGTGTGCACTGTCTTAGTTGGCAGTGAGGACAGTTTACTAAGCAGCTTTACAGATTACCTTTATCAGCCAGACATGGTGGCGTATGCCTATAATCCCAGCACTTTGGAAGGCCAAGGTGGGGGAATCATTTGAGCCTAAGAGTTTAAGTCCAGCCTGAGCAACATAGTAAGGCCCCATCTCTATAAAAAATAGAAAAATTAGCCAGGCATGGTGGCTCAGGCCTATACTCCTCGTTACTCAGGAGGCTGAGACAGGAGGATCACTTGGGCCCAGCATCTGAGGTTACTGTGAGCAATGATCATGCCACTGTACTCTAGCCCAGGCAGTAGATTGGGGCCCTATCTCAAAATAAATAAATAAATAAAAATTTGGCTCAGCGCCTGTAGCTCAGCAGCTAGAGGGTCAGCCACATACACTGGAGCTGGCAGGTTCAAACCCAGCCCAGGCCTGCCAAACAACGACAACTACAACCAAAAATAGCCAGGCATTGTGGCAGATGCCTGTAGTCCCAGTTACTTGGGAGGCTGAGATAAGAGAATCACTTAAGTCCAAGTGTTTGAGGTTGCTGTGAACTGTGACACCATGGCACTCTACTGAGGGTGACATAGTGAGACTCCGTCAAAAAAAAAAAGATTACCTTTATTATGTCTCAAAAAAATGCACACACGCTGCCCAGATAAGCATAGATGTGGTTTCTGTTTCCTGTAGTGAATCTAATATTGCCACAATCTCTACCTGATTAGTGAAACATTAATAGGCTAATTAATAGACTGGTCTGGGATATTCAGTGGATCCAAAGTTCAACTCTAATGAGCTATTTCACCCCTCCTGGGCCCTCCTGGTAAGTTTCCAAGTCCTCATGTCACTGCTCAAGGGAGTGGTGGGGACGGGTCCCCACAGCTCTCTGCTCTACATGACTGTCTGATACATGAGCTGGACTGACCCAGTCTGTCCCTGGCCATCCTGGGGACAACTGCCACTGGCATCCATGATAGATATAATCTCTAGCTCGTTCCCTGGCACAAACAACCCACTGGACACCTCCTGTGTTCCCCAAACCTCTGATGATCTGTAAAGCATGGTCATGACTCCCAGTCGGCCCAAGACTCACGTGTAGCCCTGTGTCCCCAGCCAGATTCTCACTGGAAAGCCCCCATGGGGACATGTGGGAAGCTGAGTGTCTTCTAGTCCCTTCCACATTACATGGCATCTTGGGAATGTCAAGCCAAGTACTCCCTCTCTCCACAGCACGGTGCTCTTTCCTACCCTGCCCCTCCCACGTGCCAGAGTTCTAAATGGGGGTCAGGGCACAGAAGACCTCTGTTTTTGCCTTTTTCCTCAACCTGTTCAACTTTTCCCAGTTCCTCACTCTCCCTACTCCCCATCCTGGGACTTTAGCCTGGAGTAGGAAGGTTAGCACACATGAGCGTGACCACCCAGGGCCCCATCTCAATCCCTCTCCTTCTGCAATCCCCTGGGCCTTATCCCTGGAGAGGGCTCTTATCCCTTTCACTTTAGTCCCAATATCCCTAACACACTTGCTGCCAGACAGTGGTCCTCGGACAAGCAGCACCAGTGTCGCCTGGGAGCTTATTAGACACTCAAGCCCTAGGCTGGACGTGCTGAACTGGAATTTGCTTGTTAACATGGTGCCAGGTGATAAGTGAGTACATTAGAGTCAGGGGAGATTCCATCCCATCCTGGGGGCTTTCTTCCTTGCCTCATGTCAGACTCCATGGTCTGGTCCTCTAGGCCTACATCTTTCTTCATATCTTTTTATTATTATTATATCATAGCTGTGTGCATTTTTAATGCACTCATGGGGTACAATGTGCTGGTTTTATATACAATCTGAAATATTTTCATCAAACTGGTTAACATGGCCTTCACGGTACCCTCTTAGTTATTGTATTAAGACATTTATATTCTACATTTAGTAAATTTTGCATGTACCCTTGTAAGATGCACCGTAGGTGTGGTCCCACCAATTACCCCTCCTCTACCCGTCAGAAAGCCTTTCTCATCAAAGCCCAGCTTCCACACGCCGCAGACACACATATCTTGCCTCAGCGCCGTGGATGTCACCAGCTGAGTAGTAACTTTTTCTTTCTCTCCACGTTCTTGCTGTAACAATCCTAATCTCCTCAAGGCATACTTCTTGGACCTGGGGGTAGAGAAAGAGGGAAATACACAGAACTGTGAAAGAGAAAAACAAACATATTTTTAAAAATATTCTCCAAGTTACAATAGCTTTTGCCGACTTGAGCTTGGGGCGGTGCTGGCAGGCTGTGTGGAGGGTGGCAGGAAGAAGGGGAGTCCCAGGTGATGGGCACTCCTTCCCCCATACAATGTCCTCTGCATAAGGGTGCAAGAGAGAAACCCTCTTGCCTCAGGATCCAGAGTCACTCGACATTTCCCGAGCAGGTACACTGGCTTCATGTTATGGGCCTCTCGCAGTGGTTTTTATCTCACAGCACACGTGAACCTATGGTTAAACTTCCACAGCACGCTTAAATTATGTTGATCAAAAAAAAAAAAAAGAGTAAAAAAAGGAATATATTTCCTGTGTTTTGAAGATCCTCTCACGGCACACTAGTATGCCATGGCACACAGGTTGAAAATCACTGCTGTAGGGAATGACTAACCATTTGCCCCTTTTGCTTTGGCCACTAGGAAACTTAGAGTCAAGTTTGTAGCTCAACAAGTACGTAATTATGCATCCAAGTCCTTGTGTTCAACTGATCCCTGGCTTCATACTAAATTGTCTTTTTCCCCCTTAATTTTAGTACAACAGAACCTCCATAGTTAACCACCTCCCTACACTGACCACCTCTTTAAGTTGACCCAATTTACATAGACCAGACATATATCACATGAATGGATCAGTATCTTATATCACATGAATGGATCAGTACAGTATCCCTTATGTTGACCTCCTTTGTATGTTTTTAACTTCGTTACAGTCCCTTGGGTGGTCAACTTAACAGAGGTTCTACTGTGTACACATTTTCTTATGGTTATAATAATAACCATATATATTATATATATTATAACCATATTCTTACAAGCCACTTTAAATCTTTCCTAAAGTCAAGTAGAATTAATTTATAGGCAGGTACTGTTCTAGGCTCTTCACTACAGTTTATCCTGCTTAAGCTTTATCACTGTGTTACCGTATTTGCAGATGAGTAAGCCAAAGTTCAGAGAGGTAGAACAAACAAGCCCAGCTCTGGGGAAGCTGCGGGATGTCAAAGTCAGGGCGACTCCATTCTGTGTTCAGGGTTTGGACCCCAGCAGGAACCACTGTCCTCACAGCAAGCAGGCCAGCTCTGTGTGGAGAAGGAGCAGAGGGGAGATTTGGGTCAGATTTGAACCAAGCCCTAAGACTCTGTGTCAATCAAACACAAGCCTTTCAGACAGCCAAACCCTGGTTGGGAGCCTTCTTTATGTGTATCCATATCCCCAGGTAACTGATCACGAGGTTCTGAAGAATAGAGCGGGGGCCAGCGATTCTGTGACTGGAGCAGGTGAACTGCTTTGTGGGGTTGTGCAATGTGTATCCCCCACCTCGATGGCTGATCTAGATAAGGAAGCTCTAGATAAAGGCTGGAGGTAAGTCTGCCTCCGGCAATGGACAGGGGAGGAAGGCCAGGGATGCCACAGAACAACTGCTTGGAAAAGAATGAAGGAAATTTACATGTACCAAAAGGAAAGGATTTTTAATTGAAAAAGGCAAATTAAGGAACAGTATGTGTACTAAGATCCCATTTGTGAGTGTGTTTTCAATGCACAGGCACATGAATACATAGACACACACAGAGCCTGTACACAGCGACACCCCTCCTGACTCCTAGCCCCTCCACACACAAGGCCTGAAAAGAAACACCAAATTATTAACAGCTACTAAGGAGAGAGAGAGAGAAGTTACAGTGAGGGAGAATTTGCTTTTCAATTTTCACTGTACATTTCCATATTGTTAGAATTTTTCACAATAATGTTATCACATCATAATTGGTTTGTTGGTTTTTTTTGTTTTGTTTTTTGAGACACAGTCTCCCTCTGTTGCCTAGGCTCGAGTACTGTGGCATCCAAGCTGGCATCCAAGCTCCCAGCAACCTTAAATTCCTGGGTTTAAGTAATCCTCCTGCCTCAGCCTCCCAGGTAGCTGGAATGACAGACACCTGTCACCACACCCAGCTAATTTTTCTGTTTTTTTTTTTAGTAAAGACAGGGTCTCCCTCTTGCTCAGGCTGGTCTTGAACTCTTGAGCTAAAGGGATCCTCCCACCTTAGCCTCCTGAAGTGCTAAGATTACAGGGATGAGCCACTGTACCGGGCCTATCACTTCATAATTTAAAGAAAGACTGATTTTTTTTTAATGTAGTAAATAAAATCAGTGCTGTAAACATTTCCCGTGAACACTCAGTTGATCAAGACAGCCAGTGTGTTGTCTCAGAGAAAGTTAGAGCAGGGATTTGGGTGGTCATAGGGAGTCACATGATCATCAGCTCCATTGTCCAGGATTGAGTAGAGCTGTGGAGCCCCAGAGCCCCTGCTGTGGTCGTGGCGTCAGAAACATAAGTGAGGAACCTGTGGGCCCTGAGCAGCTGACCTCTGCTCTTCCAGGATAGCAGGGAGGGGTCCGAGGTGGGTGAGTGAGGCAGAGAAAAGACGAGCCTTACATTTCAGTAGCTGGCAACCAACAAGCCCACCCCTCTCGGAGGGCTGGCTTCATCCTCCAGTTGCTGTGAAATCCATCAATCCAGCATGGATCCCTATTTTCCCAGCCATCAACTCACAATGAACCGTAGTCATTTCTTGCTGGTACATACAAATTCGATTCTCTCTTTTTTTAAACAACTGCCTCCTATCACCGTTTGCATTCATCCCAAGCCCAGCCTAGGAAGGTAACTGTTACGGGGAGAGATATAGGACCACCAACTCAGATTAGAATTTCCAAAAGGAGTCTTCTATTAACTGCGGGACTGTCTCAGCAAAGTCTAAAGCAGACTGAGAGAGCATTGAGGGGTCTGAAGTTGGGGTTTTTCTACTCTAAACGTTGGCAACAGGCTGAACAGGTGGTCTGAAAGTTAGCAATTAGAAGCAAAAAGAAGGTGGCAAAAGGAGCAAAAAGTGAGCATGGGGTCACGATGGCCTTGTTTACAGAAACAAACCTTGCAATTTAGCGGTTTAGCCAAAGGGTAACATAAGGGGCAGTTAGATAACAATAAAGTAACATAATGCAGATCTAGCAACTAAGGGATAAGTAAAACAATTTGTCTCAGCACTTTGCTCGTTAACTCTTATTATGACAGTACTTGGCCCATTGGTTCTTCTCTTGTCCTGTTCTGGCCCGATCCGGACTGATCTGAGAGTAATGGTGCCTGTCACCATTTCAGAGTCAAGATGGTCTCATCTTTTTTGTGCTTTCATCTTTTATCCTACACAGCCCCCTGGTGCAGGGCGGTCGCAGGCGGTATCCATCTTACGGGGGTGATGAAGTTGCTGGCACCCATCTCATAACCATAAGTGTTTGTGGGAACTAGCTTCCTAAGGGAAAGGGAAAGGGCTTTGTCCTGGAAGGAGGAAGGTCCTCCAGAAACATAAAGTTCTTCCGGGGAGGGCAGGTCTAAGTGAGGTGGCCCTGGGGGAACAGGCATCCTGCCTGGGCTTTGGGGGAACTAGGAAGCCCTGCTGTGACAATGCTGAGCAGAGCTGGGAGCCACTCTAGATCCACCGTTACCGGGTCCTACTGGAGTCCCTTGACAACTCCTCCCTTCCCCACCCTACACCATCTCTCCTACATGAAGATCTGGGCAGTCCATGGAGCTTAACACCCTGGCTCTGCGTCACCTTCCTCAGTCACTCAAATGTCTTGAGTCAAGTCAGAGATTATCACCCGTAACCTGTGACGCGGAAAAGTACACGGTTTGGGGAGCAAAACCAACCTTTAAATGTCTCGTGGAGTCAGGCAGCTAAGGGTTACTGTCAAGAGCATAAGCTTTGGAGAGCTGTGATCTCCGAGTCGGTCTCCCGGTGCCAGATGTGACAGGAATGATACCTGCTTCCCAGGGGTATGGTGAAGGGTGCAGGCGTCCAGCCGAGGCGCCGCGTCCGACCCCCGTGGGGTAGCCAGGTTGCTCGGGCGGGGTGGGCAGCTGGGCTAACAGGACCTCAGCGCCACCTTGTGGTCTTGTCTGTCAGCGCACCCGCGGATCCTTGTCCAATCGCCTGTATGGGTGGTTAAACTCATTGCTTAAGCAGGTAATGGGGAAGGATGGTGCTGGTGTCCAGCCGAACATCTTAGAAAGATATTAAGTGATGCAGAAGAAACACCATTAGGGAGGAACCCGCTGCTCCTGGGCCCATCTGAGGGATGCCCCTCTAATCTACCATCACCGCCCAAACACGCCTGATGTTCCAGCTTTCGTGAACAGGAAACAAGGTTTTGTTGGCTTCAGAGCAGAGAGAAGAGATGCACAATCACATTAAAAATGTGTCTGCTTGGTTTCTAAGCCTTTGCCCCCAAATCCTGCCTATTGCTTTCCCTGTTTGCTCACCCTTTTCTCTGTTCTTCGCCACCCCATCCGCACCCCAACCTCCCACTGTTAGCTGCACCCCTAATCACCACCCCTTCCAAGCTGGTCAGCCAGCCTTCCCTGCCCCTCCCACGTTACTCTCCTCCTCCACGCTCATCACTGACACGCCCTGCGTGGTCCTTAGCTGTTTACTGTCTTGCCCATTTGAATGGGCAATACGGGCAGGACTTTCCGTGTTTCCTCACTGCTGTATCTTCAGCACCTAAAACAGTGCCTGGCTCATAGCAGATGCTCAATAACTGTAGATTGAATCAAAGAACAAATGAAAATAAAGGTGGAGTCTGGGATGGGGAAAATTGGACTAGCACTACTCAGCACGCCAGCCATTTCAAAATGGAAACTTTTCTAAGGTAGGCAGGGAGTTACCTAAGGAAAGGGTTGTTTCACAGGCAAGTGGCCAGGACCCTGCATGAAGAAAGACCAGGCATTCTGAAGGGCCCAGCAGCTGAGGTCTAATGATCTGTGGCTGCAATCTTGAAACTCTTAATACAGGGATTGTATCTTTGAATCTCTGTTTTGTGAATGAAGTCCAATGGGACGATGGTGTGTATGTGTGCAGGGGGTGCTCAGCACGTCTGCTCACTCATGGTCCTGCCTCCTGTCATCCCTAGACACCCCAGCATGGTTCTCTGAGCTGCTGTGCCCCTAGTGTACAGAAGCCCCCAAGCCTCCCCTTCCCGGACCACTGCACCACACTCTGCTCCCAACAAGGGCCTGGGTACAAGCAAGGAAAGGGTCAATGTTAGGTGTCTAAGCCCCAGAACACCTCAGGACATGACATGGTAGCAGCTGGCCCCAACCCATTTCCCTCCTGCCCCAGCTGGCAGCTCCATTCAGATACCCTGATCTGGGTACAAAGATCCAGCCTGAAGATTAAAGATCTTTGGGGGTGGCCTGGCTGCCGTGAGTTGGGGCAGTGGGTGGGCCTGTGGAAAGGAAGAGGCCTGGCTTGATTGCTCCAGACCAGCAGTTAGTAGGTATGACCTAAGGGAGGAAGAACCAAGCAAGTGCCAGAATCACAGGTTCCCAAATGCCTGAGGGTCTGATGTGTCTGTCTCTTCTGGCCAGCTTGAGGAACTCACTGGGGAGGAGTGATAAGTTATGAATGGAATCATTTCTGAAACTCCATCTATGAGCTAAATGCTCTGCTATTTGCATTTAAAATCGGCATTGTACAATATAAAAATGAATGGTATAGTTATGCTTGCAATTTAAAATTTTAATTTTTCTCTACTTAGAACATTAAATAGCTAACAACCCCACAATAAACAGATAAACACGGGAAGAAAAGAAAAAGTTTTGTAGGTACCTCGTGGTGATTGTTTCCTAGTTTTTAAATGAGAGCCTCACATTCTCATTTTGTACTGGGCATTGCAAATTATATAGCTCAGAGTTGTGCTCAACACTTACATCAAGGTGGTCCCACTAGGACTAATCTCTCGATATACCACACAGGCATGGTGAACAGGTTCTGATTGTGTTTGGACAATATCATATGTCTTTGATGAAACTACATTACCAAACTACAAACCCACAGATATGAAGGAGCTATTTCTTCTTTTTTCCTATTAACCCTTCATAATTGGGTCTTAATTCATGAAGCTAAAAGGATTAGCATTATCAGGAAAACATCACCTGGGCATAGCAGAAACTAATTCATATTAAAAGTTAAACAAGGCTCGGCGCCTGTGACTCAAGTGGCTAAGGCGCCAGCCACGTACACCCAAGGTGGCGGGTTCAAATCCAGCCCGGGCCCGCCAAACAACAATGACGGCTGCAACCAAAAAATAGCCGGGAGTTGTGGTCCCAGCTACTTGGGAGGCAGAGGCAGGAGACTCGCTTGAGCCCAGGAGTTGGAGGTTGCTATGAACTGAGATGCCACGGCACTCTACCCAGGGGGACAGCTTGAGGCCTGTCTCAACAAAAAAAAAAAGTTAAACATATTGCGAGAAAAAATCCATCAAAATCCAAAAAGTTTTCCTTCAAGAATGAGGTATATCCCAGCAAATCTGAGCTTACATTAGGTTTCTCAAGAGTGGCGCTATTAAAAAAAAAAAAAATGGCACTATTGACATTGCAAATCAATCATCATCCCCAAAGACACAATCCTGAATGCCATAAACCCAAATGTTGAAATCCTGAAAGATCAAAATCCTTAATATCTAAAACCCCTAAAATCACTATTCTGGAAGATCAACTCCCCAAAAATATAATTCTGGAAAAAACAATTTAAAAAGTCTTTAAAGGATGTTTATTTACAACTTTAAAAGGGGATTTATTTCAGAAAAAATACTTCATAAGCCACTTTACATTTAAAAATAGGCAATAATGACATATTTTGTAAGCATAAACACTCGGGTAAACTAATGACAATTTGACAGGCATATCAGTTATGAGCAAACTATATTCATAGAGAAATAGGTCAAAAGGGGCAATGTAGAAACACAGATCACCATGGCTGATAATTGTGCTCTGTGCTAGCTTTATAACTGCAGTCATCCGAAACACTGTGACGAACAACCTAAGTCTTTTGACCAAATCTATCAAAAACTGAGACTGGTTACCAACACATGTGCAATCACCCAAAGAGCTAGGATGTAGAGACATTTTATCTTTCACAAATGCAGATGTACATTTCATTTATTGAAATGAACATTTCATTTTCATTTATTGAGGAAATGTCAACGTTTTTGTGTACATGCACAATGCTTATATACAAAGGCAGCATTGCGATAATGCTCTTTCATGAAGTCCAGTTTGCAAAAAAATGTATAAAATGAATTAGAATTCTCCAATGACTCTACACAATTTATACCTCCAGTCTTGAAAATGATGCAGAGATGAAATACATAGCATAGTGAGTTGAAAGAAAAAAAGTAGTGCTGACAATTTAAAAGAAAAAGGAAAAAGCTAAAAAAAAAAAAAAACCCTAAAAAGAAAATTCGACATGAGAAGTATTACAGGAATGAATTATGGGCAATTGCATAGAGCTATTGCATAGTCCTTAAGGGCTGGCCAACTTTCATGATGATCAACTATATTTTAAAGACTTGCATCACTATAAATAGCTGCTTTTTCTCTTTTAGGGCATGGCTCTCCTCAGAGACTACATTCACATTCATTCTCTTACGTGGTAAGGCTCTTTTGAAATTCTTCTGTGATTTGATATGCTGAGATGAGCATTCCCTATTAAATTTACCCATCTCCTGTGCCATGCTTGTATGTCATTTTGGGTACATGGAAATCCATTCCCCATGCATTCATACACAGACCACGAATTTGGAAGAAAAAACATGGATGACTGAAAAGGAACATCGTTGCATAAGTGTCTTCTTATCTTATCACACACATACTTATTTTCAAACCAGTTAGTAACTTTGCTGGCTTCTTTGGGAAAATGCAATTTTAATCCATTAAAAGCTCCTGGAATGTCATCTGCTGGAGGATGTCAATGCAGGCAAATGATGTATCCTAAGCTGAAGTTTTTACTGTTGCCATATCTTATGGTTAATCCACTCATCTGAATTTTCTGCCCAGTGCATTGGGCCAAATGAAAAAAACAAACTTCATTGGTAACACTTTGAAATTCTCTTTTAGAAGCCTTGATCACACCTAATTCCAAATCTGCCATTATAGTTTGGGGATTTAGTTAACAACCATTTTATAAAGTGCTTTGCTTTTTCCAGTCATTAATATATAAACTGAAGGGGTAAGTTCTAGAATTTCTGGATCCAATTGGGGCATGAATTGTATATTTGTATATATTTGATGAAAACCAGTAGGGATAGTTTTGAAAGTGCCATATCTGGGAGGCCAAGGCAGGTGGATCCCTTGAGCTCAAGAGTTTGAGACCAGCCTGAGCAAAAGCGAGACTCTGTCTCTAAAAAAAACAGCCAGGTGTTGTGGTGGGTGCCTGTAGTCCCAGTTACTTGGGAGGCTGATGCTTGTGCCTAAGAGTTTGAGGTTGCTGTGAGCTGTAACATCACAGCAACTACTGGGAGCAACAAAGTGAGACTCTGTCTCAAAAAAGGGGGGAGGGGCATCTATCAGCCAAAGTGAAGCATGTGCTACCTTTTCTGTTAGATTTAGTGGTAAATATAAGAAGTCTGTCTTCTTTGACAAATTCCTAATCAAGAGTAATCATTCAATGTGTTTTATAACACTGGGGGAACCTTCACATCAGCAAGTGTCTTTGGTTCAGAGGGTCATCGAGTGTGTGGAATTCTTTTTATTCCCTGAAGGGCGTCTTCTTTGAAGGCAGGAATGGTGCTGTGTGAAGAAGCAGAAATTGTACATGATCCAATAGGTTAGCAGGAAGATTTCCTGTATTTTTCTCCTTCATTTTCACTTCTGTGATCTTCAAAACCCTTTAAGCATGGAAGGCAGATCTTCCCCACCTAGTCTACTCAGGCTCCCACATTAATCTCTAGAAACACTCTCACAGACACACCCAACATAATGCTTTACCAAGGTTTCTAGGTATTCCTTAATCCAGTCAAGCTGATACCTAAAATTAAATGCACACATCCACCCCTTGTCAACTTGGCACCAACATACATCTCCTTACACCATACTTAATTTCCAAATAAAGATAATAACAAGGTAATAGTTCCACCTAACATGATGCAACCATCCTGTGTACAAGTGAAATGCACTAATTCCCTCCCCAGAATTCAGCTTTCAGGATTTTAGCATTTGAGATTTTAATCTTTCAGGATTATGATTTTGAGGATTTTAAATGTTTGGAATTTTAATCTTTCAGGATTTCAACACGGGATTATGGCATTTGGGATTGTGTCTTTTGGGATGATAAAGACCCACTGACATTTTGTTGTGGGGGGCTACCCTGTACATTTAGAATGTTTGGTCCCTGGCCTGTACCCACTAGCAGCCAGTAGCATCCTGCTCCCATCAAGATAATAAAAAACATCTACAGACTTTGCCAAATGTCCCCTGAGGAGCAAAATTACCCATTTAAGGGCCACTGGCTTATGTGGATTAATGAGCTGGGTGGTAAAGCACCACACGGCTTAAAAGCAAAAGGCTGCTCTCCTGAGCATCAGATCCAGGTTTTCATCCCTAGCCTGTAACCTACAATGAACGCCTACAAATCATTAGCACTACTTCCTCCAACTCAGACACAAACAAATGCAGGAGACATAGATACAAGAAAACTAAAGACTATTTTATTTAGTGGACAAGAAGTGGGAAAATGACAGCCAGCTCATATACTAGTAAGTAGAATAAAAAGGAAAAAAGAATATAGACATCACAGTGATGAATTTTTACAAAGCTAAGAGATTTGTACTACAGAACAATGAAATACTTACAAGCAAGAGTCACTGTATTAGTGACCAATTGTATCCAATTAAGTTTCTTAAGGGCAAAAACATTTAAAACCTCAGACTTATTTTAAATTTAGACAAGGCAATTGTAAGCACACGACTTAGGCATTTAAAACTTTACAGTAAGTGCTACTCCTAGGTAAATACTCTTTCCTAACATTATTTTTTCTCCTAAGATTTGGAATGTCACATCTCATGTTCCTAGCAGTAATTGCATACAGGATTAAAAGCCCAATCAACCAAGAAAGTATCATTTTTTTCTATAAAGTGTTCTTAAAAGAAAGAAAAATTAAGGTGTGAACATTTTGTACAATTGTTGCTGAGGAACAGCAAAGGCAGTTCCAAAATATCATGCTTACTATATAAGAAGGCATGGCTCACGGAACCAAGTAGAGGAAGCTACAGCAGTTTAATATCCATCTTTAAAGCTTGGTGGTATTAAATACGGTAAACAGGTCTGTGCCTCCCTAGGGCTAGCGCATGCCCAGGATCTGTCTGCTTTTTAGTTGATAATTTTTTTCAAGATCTGATAGAGCTTGAGCCCGCAGCTGAGCAGCATGAAGCCTTTTCTTCAGGTCCTTACACTTGGACTTGGAGGTGAGCTGCCTCTCAGAATTCTCACTCCTCATGATGTTCTCCTTACTTTCCCCACTGAAATGAACTTTCTTCTTAATTATTGAGCATGGAAGATCAAGAAGTTCTTTGGAAAGAAAAAGAAAAAGGGTTTTGAGTTACTTTAACAGAGTACATCTTCTTTTAGTTCACATGTGAAATCTAGGTACTTGACTTCTTATTATCTTTGGGATAGGTGATTATGGTGATGAGGCTGGCATAAATCAATCAGCCCTTTAATCTACAACACTGAAAAAAATAATCTGAAATGTGCCAAAAATCAAGGAGCATATGTTTTATTCTCTTAATAATTAAATTTTCTATTAAGGTTAAAGGCATTGAGGATTATGATCTACAATATACAACTTCTGGACATCAATGCTAATTGTCTGTACCCTTGAATATAAGTGCCATTCTATGCAGAACACATTACTTCCAGGAAGTATGCAGGTAAAGGTTCTTCCTTACACAGAACCCCAACAGTGTTGGTTAAGTGTTCAAAGCAGCTGAATTGACTAGAAACTTGTTTTCAAAAAGAACCTAAACAATTCAGTGTAAAAAAGGTGAAGTCAACTATGAGTAGCAAAAAATGTAAACTGCTTTTTTCATGGAAAACAATTTTAAAAATAATAATCAAATTTGCTTAAAGTGGCAACACTATTAACTACTGACAGAACTATTTGGGACTTAGATACTTGCAGGTTTAAATTCCAGAATCTATTTCTTCTTCCTTTCTTCAATTAAATATTTACTGAGCTCAAAGTATGAGCCATTGTTAACTAAACAAAGGCCCTATTCTAGTAGAAAGAGATAGACCATAAACAAATAAACAAGTACAGATGGGGAATAATTGATAGGGATATGTGCTATGGAAAAAACACTGAGAAAGGGGTCAAGACATGCTGGGTGGTGGTTACAGGGATGAGAGAAAGCCTCGAAGGTAAATTTTGAGCAAAGGCCTCATGCACATGAGGACATAAGAAGCTATGGGGCTCTCTGTATGACGAGTACTCCGGGTTAAAGTAATGGAAAAGGCCGGAGGGAGGAGCAGGCTGGCACACAGAAGTACCACCTTCCAAAGGTCCTGTGACTTCCTACATCATACATTGTTTCTGTTTCAAAGCACACTGGATTGCTTGTAGACCTTAACTCCACTGTTTAAATATATCCAACTTTTGACTTGGTGCCCATAGCTCAGTAGTTAGGGCATCAGCCACATGCACTGGGGATGGTGGGTTCAAACCTGGCCTAGTCCTACTAAACAATGACAACAATTAAAAAAAAAAACAGCTGGGCATTGTGGCAGGTACCTGTAGTCCCAGCTGCTTGGGAGGCTGAGGCAAGAGAATCACTTAAGCCCAAGAGTTTGAGGTTGCTATGAGCTGTGATGCCAGGGCACTCTACTAAAGAGTGACATAGTGAGACTGTCTCAATAAATAAATGAACAAATCCAACTTTTATTATCGCAAATACCTATACATTTGTAAACCAACATTGTTTTACTAATTTGCTTTTGTCAAACAAAACAATTTGGTTTGTTATTTGCTTCTGTTTGTTTTGTCTTATTTTGCTTTTGTCTTTTTTGGGGGGTTGGGGAGGCCTTGCTTGTTGTCCAGTCTGGAGTGCAGTGGCCATTCCTAGACATGATCATGGCACACTACAGACTCAAACTTCTGGGCTCAAGCAATTCTCCTACTTTAGTCTCCTCAGTAGTTGGGACTACAGGCATGTGCCACCATGCCTGGCACTTAATAGGATAATTTTATAAGAAAGAAAAGTGTTTAGAAAAGGAATTAGAATTTCATTAAATAGAAGAAAAAGAATGAGCATTTTACCAAAGAGACAAAGAACTGCTTTAAAAAGGCTGCTGCTGCTATGACACTCTTGATATATTTGTGATGTCTTTCCCATGTCTGAACGTAGCCCAAGATAAGGAGAAGGTATTTCCACTTGTTTTGAGTTCAGAATGGCACCTGCTCCGCACTACTATGCTGCTTATCTCATGGCTCTGACAGGCTCACTGCCTTCAGTACTCGGTACTAACATGTTCCCTAACTCAAGTGGATGTTTGATTCCTCTGCATCATTTAAAATATTTGCCATTGGATGCAGGTCACAACTATAACAGGGACTCTACCGAACAAATGCAAACATTATAACCTAATTGTTTGTACCCTCACATTAATCTGAAATAAAAAATAATAATAATAAATATATATGGTAATTAAAAAAAAATAAGTAGAATATTTGCCATGATTCACATACAGGTAGATTCCCATACTTATCTATGTATTCTATAAAGTAAAGCACATTATCCTTATCCAGCTATTTTCATCCTTTGTTCTTTAGCTGGAAGAGCCTCCATTTAAAGAACAAGGGATAAATATAGCTGGATAAGGGTGATATGTTTTACTTTTGAACTTTGAATAAATTTCATTGATAATTCAACTGCTCAATTTTCAAAACCAACAAAAAACTTTTTAACAAGCTGTGTTATGAAGAAATCAAGAGTAAATATGCTTAATAGTTTGCATTTTCTATAATCCTAAAGAGTAGATTAAATTAGATTTAGGGTTTCCACAACATAGAGAAAGCATATGAGACAATGGTTTGTTGGTACATACAATAACCACAACTCACTACAGCACAGTGAAAGGACAATACCACATAGACGCATGGCCCTAGGAAAGCTGACTGCCTACATACCAGACTCTGAATAAAGAAACACAGAAAGCATATATAGATATTAAACAATCAATTCTGACAAACACGTGCTTCAACTTGAAAGGGTCTTAGTGAAAATCCAAAAGTGACAGCCTACTCTGCAGTTGGGTCTCATGCCTTGCAAGTCCTGCTTTCTTTGAAAGATGAGGTGTAGCAGTATTAAAATGCAGATTTTGTTTGCTCAAAAATGTAGAGAGTGGTAGTTTTGATTATTTCCACTGAAAGATATGAAATAAATATCAAATACTAAACATGTATTTGATAATATAAAAAATAAATCAATGATGAAATCATGATTCGTTGCATCAGGTCTATGAACTCAGTAAATAAATCACTACTATAATAGAATTTTATTTTCATTGAATGCGTACAGTCAATGAAATCTACGATCTTAAAATATGAGATTTTGTAAATTAAAAGGGCGACACAAGCCACCCTGGGGGCAACATTGGTGCATATTTCTTCACTTGCGGCACCAGCTCATTCAGTGAGTTGATTCTCATACCTGGACTACTCCCCAGAGTCAGGAACTTCTGTTCCTTTAGCAAGCTGTAATTCTTCAGCAGACTTTCTGCTCTAACCAGTTTGTCCTCTGCTAGTCGCTCACGAACACAAAGCTCACGTTCCTTCTCTTTAAAAGGGGAATGGGAAAAAAAAGAAAAAAAAATGACAAATGACTTTGGCTGTAAAACAATCTATATTGGCAATTTTATCATTTTTTCTTATCACAAAGACTAGCGTGCCCAACAACTGATTAGCATGTTTTGTGAAAGGATTCTTACTTTATACCTCAGTCACCCTGATTGTGCTAGTTTTTGATTCAGTGTTTTAGTAGGTTGTATGCTATCTTAGGTTTTCTTATAAAGGCTTGTTTAAACAAAAGTACAAAGTTAACTTCAACCTTTGGTCATGTGTGGGAGCAACTCAGTTGGGAAAACAAAAAACTAAAGCCATCTCTGTTCTCCATTGAAGATAGGCAACAGTTAGGCCATGGTCTGGCCTCACAGTACAAAATCTTTCTTTTTGTTGAATGACAGATCCCAAATAGAAAGGGGGAAAAACCCACAAGTTAGTTAGAAAGTAGTTCTTTAGATTAGCAACAATAGCTACTGTTTATTCGGGACCTGGAATTCAGAAAGTGTTCATGTTTCAGTTGCTGTATGAAATCACAAAACACTGGAGAAAGTTTTTTTTCTCAATTTTGTTTTTCGTCTTTTACAGAACTTTTTCCTCTGAGGAGCCAAAAAAAGCTTTCCAGGTAAGCACAGGTTATACCTACACAGTAAACATATCTCACAGGGCTAAGCAATATTTCATTATCAGTAGGAAGTAAAATATGAACAAATGCACTGAATAAGCATATTTAAATTGAAAAAATGTAACGGCTGGGCACAGTGGCTCTCACTTTTAATCCTAGCACCCTGGGAGGCCAAGGAGGGTGGATTTCTTAAGCTTAGGAGTTTGAGATTAGCCTGAGCAAAAGAGTGAGACCCCACCTTAACCCGGTATTGTGGGGGGTGCCTGTAGTGCCAGCTACTTGGGAGTAGAGGGAAGAGAATCGCTTGAGCCTAGGAGTCTGAGGGAGCTATAATGCCACGGCACTCTACCAAGGTGACAAAATGAGACTGTCTCAAAAAAAAAAAAAAAAAAATGTGAAGTCTACATTGCGTGTAAAGCTGCAAAATGAAACAAAACGAGTCATGAGGGTGGTAGGAAACAGACATGGCCCTGTCTCACATCCAAAAGTTTAAGTAAAGAGCCTCCCTGCTGTTCCTACCTTGCATGATCCTAAACCCTTAGTAATGGCTCTCATCTGAGTGAATCAAAAACTAATTAGCATCTAATCAGTTAATACTCATTAAGTCAATATTAATACCCATCAAAATATTGTTATTATTTTGTTTTTGTTTTGTTTTGTTTTTGAGACAGAGCCTCAAGCTATCCCCCTGGGTAGAGTGCCCATGGCATCACAGCTCACAGCAACCTCC